GAAGTTTGACTGGAATTCTATCCCATAAGATTAGTAACCAAGGACTGACAAGCCCACCCGCCCACTCCTACTGGGTTGTCAGTCTGATGATATTGCTTGTTGGTTCTGTTTATGCTTGGTCACTGTGCGTTGCTTTCAAATAATGATGTGATGTCACTCCCGGTGAGCCTGCGTTCGTTCTTCTTGTCAGTCCTTGGTTACTAATCTTATGGGATAGAATTCCAGTCAAACTTCAACTTCCAGGTAAGTTTCGTTTAACTTCTAAATTATCTATTGTTTAATATAAATTGCATTCGACGTAGAAATCAGGCAGTTGGGGTTTAGACTTTACTTGACATTAAGATTTGTATTGCGAGTTTCAAGCACACGGAATTTGCTATTCCAGTTTTCCAAAATATACCCTTCAAATATGCACTATGCCTCGTCCCTCGTCGCTTCAGTTTCGGGTAGAGATCAGTGGGAGAACAGTGGCTATTGGGGGAATGTGATAAAACACGTACCGCTCACGGATGAGGGACTGTGGGAGAGTCAGCTATGACAGACGAGTGGCCTGTTCACGAAGGTAGTTGGGGTGTATGATAACCAACAGGCTGTAACAACCATTTATCACTTATTTACTGAGACCGAGGGAAACATCGACGGTCGAGGGTCCACAAAACACACTGCTTTCCCGAGGTCTCAGTAAATAAGTGTTTTATTATATATCAATAGTCAAAGAAACAACAAATTAAAGAACAAACGAACGTAAATACATTAAATACTTTATTGTTAAAACGTTAAATTAAGCACTGCAGTTACTTGAAACGAAAGTTTAAATTACTAGGCATGTCCAAAGGTTGCATCTTCACGTGATAGCACACGTGATTTTTTTTGTTATTTACTGGTCGATAACGTATTGTTTCCCTCTCGCGCTGTTGCGAGGGACAGGCTGCTCCATTTACTGTTCGGAGTAGTCCCGATTTTCGGAACACTAATTAAATCGAACCAACAATGGTCACGTGACTGTTCTGACGGTCACATATGTCTGTTCTGGTTGCCCCTACTTTAGAGTAGGGGCAGTCAGAACAGTCATGCGACCGTTTTTGGTTTGATTCAATTAGTGTTCCGAAAATCCGGAGTACTCCGAACAGTAAATGAGCAGTCTCGGAGACAGTCTAATTTCGTCACTCTCACGTGATATGCTCTCGACCAATAAAACACTAGAAAAATGCGACTTTGACTATTGATATATAATAATATAATATATGCCGATTTGTACAATAGGGAGCCAGGCTCTCTGTCACATACATGACATGCAAGAGCGTTTGCACATGACGTCATAGCCGCCATGTTGGTGTTCCAATTCAAAACAATTTTAATTAGACTCTTGTCCGGATCATCAACATGGCCGGCGTCGCGAGAGCCGAGAGGGACAAATTACCCCGGGCCCCCACATTAATAGGACCCAACTTGAGAACAAGAGTCTAAAATTGAGTAGGTTTGTATGGTAAAACTTTGGTAAAACTTTATTTAAACACGCTAACCTCGATCAACGTGAGCTGCTTCTCATGGGGGGCGTCACACAATAACTATTTACAAATTAAAGAGTATACACATTAAACTTTATACAAGGAAGCAAAGGATAATAGAAAAGGAATTATCCAAAGGAGGTGTTCATGCCTGACGTATTTTTCTTTTAAAAGAAGAAAGGGTTTCAGAATTTTGTATAAATTGAATCCTCAGAAAGATGATTCCATTGCATGGCACCACTATATCGAAACGTTTTCTTTAAAAATTCACTATTAGGCTTAGGTAAGCATAGATCTGTATCGCTACTACGCAAATCATAATTAGATTGAATTATGTTTTTTTTGCAGAAACACTCGTTTAGATTAGGGGCAGTGTTGTTATTAAGTATTTTGTACATCATTATTAATTTATTTTCTAAACGTTTCACATCAAGTGTTTGCCAACCGAGAGCATCCAAAACATCAGTAGACCTAATATCATAACTGGCTCCAGTAATCACTCTAGCTACACGGGATTGACATCTTTGTAGTTTATCTTGAAGTGTTTTTCCACAGTGGATTTGATGGGTAATCCAAGTGAGCATAATTATATATACACTAACCAGAAACGCTTGCGAAAAATGCAACACTAGTTCCGTACATAGGTCCATAACGCCGATTTAGTTTTAAGCTTATCACATCGAACGTGAAACCGCAGTGAACAACGTGACTTAGTTTGCCTAGCGGTTGCGCTTGCCGTATATTTTACATGTTTTTGACGACTGGAGCAACCGTAAGTCATTTTCCGCAAGCTTGAACCCTTTATTTTTCTGACAGCGAATTATCCAACGTTTTTATGGTTTTAGTTTATTTGGTATTACTTTAATCTTTAACTGTAAGTTATAATTGACGATTATTAAGTGTTCCATGCAGCTTTTATACGCCGAAATAGACTTATGCATAATGACGTCACCAGGCTTGATGCCCGCGAGAAATGCTGGTCTTAGGCTATGTGCACACGAGCGTCGTTTTCCAGAGTTTTCAGAAACGTTTTTGTCCGTAAAATCGTTTTGACGCCGTATTCGCACAGACCAAAGGAAAATATCTCGGATATATTAAATAAACTACAACTTCTGTCGTAAATTGATAGTGTTTGTATCCGTTTTAGCGTGAAAACACAAATGAAAACGCTCGAAAACGTTACCGTGTGCACATAGTCTTAGTAGTCATCGCCCGGGAAAATTAAACAATTCAAAATGGCCATTATCGAAATTTTGCCGGGCGATGACTACTTAGGCCAGCATTCTTCCCGGGCATCAAGCCTTGTGACGTCACTACGCATAAGGTTTATTCAAGAGCTATTTGTGCCGCGTGTATTCAACATGTCCGTCATATTTTTACATTTTGCATTATCTATATTTTGTGTGTTATACCGCACAGACATGGTATTTTAACAGCTAGACATATTCGAATATCTTTGAAAACCGTAAAAACCCTGCGCATGCAAAATTATTTGAAAACTGAAAAGTACATTTGCCAATGCTTCTATACGTGAAATTATTTTAAAAGTTACGAAGCATTGAAAACAAAATCCAAAATATGTGTTAAACGGCAAACTACAGACGGCTGACAGCAAACCACGGTTTGCGGTTTGCGGTTTAACAACGAAAACAAATCTTAAGGTCCCATTATACAGTATATTTAAAACCGCACGTTGGGTTGACAGATTTATGCATTCGGAAATGTTGAGCATGACAGGGGACACGGACGAGATGTTTGAATATAACGTCACTGTCGTTTTGTGTTGACACTAGTTTGTTGCATTGTCGTGGCACGATGGTTTGACGTCCAATCACGAGTACTAGTGAGTAGTAAATTTGACTGCACATTGCAATAGCAGAGATTACAAAATCATAGAGTGGGCATTGCAGGAAAATTCAGGCGAACGAAGAGAACAAATTTTTAAGAATATAGCCATCTGCCATAAAGCTTTCTTACAGGATCATAGGCGGGAAAGGCAAAGCTGACCGGCTAATCTGTCCCAGTTTGCCACATGAAAAATGCAAACTCGTTTTTTACAGCTACATGATGATTATCGAAGTTTTTGTCACTTCGTTTCTCGTTTGGTTCATCTGGTATTTTATAACTACCTACATGAAAAGAAAGAACATGCCTCCAGGACCATTTCCCTACCCATTCCTTGGAAACATTCCACAAATCATCTCTGCAGATCCCGTCAGACCATTTAGTAAACTAGCTGAGAAATATGGAGACATTCCAAATGGCAACGCTGTCATCTTGAATACAGCATCCCTAGTGCGTGAAGAAAAGCTTGCCCCCAGAAGACAAGAAGATCTTATGGGCAAATCACCTGAGTCTTTCTATCCTTTCGGGGAAATAATGGGTCATAATATGGCCTCATCTCATTACTCACCCGCATATCTTTTTGAGAGGAAAGTTTTCGTATCAGCAATGCACATTTTTGGCGCTGGGATAGAGCGAGCCTCGGTCCGTGCAGGTCACGCTGTTGACATCGCGATGAAAGAAATTGGAAATAAACCTGGGAGATCTTTTTCACCCAAGAATCTTCTCGAATTCGCCATATTTGTTCAACTTTTGGAATGGCTTACATCGAAGAAGATAGCGCTGGATGACCCAATTTTGAAGGAACTCAACGAATTTGCCGCGATTATGACCAGGCAAGCATTACTTAATACAATGTATGAGTTATGTCCGTTCCTTTGTTACCTACCAACGCAAATTTTCTCGGGAAATAAAGCGAGCACAACAGATTAGAGAGAATATTTTCCCACCGGAATATCGAGCCTACCAGGAAAGCTACATTCCAGGCACCAACCGAGATCTCACAGATAGCTTTATCAGTGCATACGAAAAAGAACTGGCCAAAGAGACTGGAAAAGACATTGGTTCCAAAGATAGTGGCATTCCCGGCTTGATGCTGAATGTGGTTACTGTGGGATCAGAAACTAGCTCGACATGGCTAACTTGGTTTTTTCTTTACAACGTCTTATATCCCAATGTGCAAAGTAAAATACACGAGGAATTGGACGCAGTAGTAGGACGTGATCGTCTACCGAACTGAAAAGACGTCCTGTCCAATTATTGGCGAAGGTAATGATGTTTTCGTTTGCTTCAATATTATTACATCGTTACAAGATTGAGTTGTCAGAGGGATCAGAGATGCCAACTACTAAAGTGTCCACTCCGCAAATAATCACTCAACCAAATGATTTTCTAGTTGTTGCAAAGCCGCGAGAGCTGGGATTATTACAAGACGGACAATAAAACTATAAAATAGAACTAGCACTGGATAGTGAAGGGTATGCGCTCTACATAAATTAAGTTGTTAACTTGTCAGTGCAAAAAAGATCTTAAAGACCTAATTTTAACAGTTAACTTTCATTCTTACGTTCTAATTTTAACCTTTTTTAGTCCCTAGTTTGAGTATTCTTATTGTAATATATTAATCATTACATAGTTTAATGTTGACTTTTCCAACACATGCAATATTCAAATTACGCAATTCAGTCGGTTGGCTGTTATGTAATTTTGCTTTTGATAAACTATCTATCTTTATCTAATGAAGGCCATATTTGAACGATCCACTCAAATCCACTTTGGTTTGGCCATCTCCGAAATAGGGAACGGGGAAATGGGGGGTTGGAAGGAGGAATGGGAAAGAGAAATATGAATGGGAATGGTATAAGTACTTTCTGAAAAAACCAATTGCATGGAAGAATGTACTAAGAACCTATAAATTTGACAGGCTTGTGCGCCGCAGTAATGACAAATGTAAAAGTTATTAGTTATTGCATGCATGTCAATCAATCAATCAATCAAGCAATCAATCAAAAACTTTATTTAAACACGGTGAAATCTACAGTATAACATTTTACAAGATAATTAACTAACATATAATTACAATTACGCTATGATAATTAATATACATTTATCCAAACACTAAAATACTGATTTACAAGATTGCCGTGCGGGAGTCCATCTCATATAGAGAACAGATTGTTAATTGCTCTTTTTAATTGACTTAGGGAGCATGTTGTTCGAACATTTTGTGGTAACTCGTTCCATAAAACTGCCTCGCTATAACTGAAACTTCGCTTACCTTAGTTCGTTCTTGGTTTTGGTACTAATAAGGTGTGTTCAGAGTTTCTTAAGTTATATCCTGTGCTGCGAGATTCAAACAATTCATGGAGATAGAACGGAGTTAGATCGTTAATTGTTTTAAACGTTAGTATAGCCCGGTATGCTTTTTCCGACGTGTTAAAAGATTATCCCAGCCCAGCTTACTAAAAAGGTCTCTGGAACTAGCATCATATTGAGATTTAGTGATGACCCTCGCTGCCCTATTTTGCAATTTTAGCAATTTGTCATTTAACGTGCATGATATTTAAACTATCCCAAACTGAGCTACAATAATCAAAGTGCGGTTGAATTCATGCTCCATAAATTTTCAGAGCAGTGTTTGTATCTTTAAATTGGCGCATCCGTTTAAGAGCTCCAATAGCAGATGCAATCATTTTGGAAATATTTTCGACATGTCGTGCCCATGTAAGATGCTCATCGATTTGCAAGCCTAAGGATTTCGTTTCGTTGACTCTCTTAATAGTCTTTCCGTCGATTTCTATCCTTGCATGCATGTCTATCGAAAAACCCATTGAAACAGCCAATGATATTGAAGATATGTTTACAGATAGTTCAAAAACTCCTTATTACAAATTTACTGTTTATATACAAGCAGTTCATAATTGTACACATGCATACTTGGAAGGATTTCAACCAGTTCGGCCATAAACAGCAGAGTAAAGTGGAGAATTTGACCAAATACGTCCATTTGCAGGAGGTATGTACATTTCAAATTATTATTTCGGTGACAAAATATTAACTATTTCACATCAAAACAGTGATAATATAATTAAATAAGTACCAATTATGTTTCTATCAAAACTATTTAGGAAAAAAGGTAATGAAGATCTACTGCTGTTTATTTGAAGTTGTAAGCCACAAATTGACGTTTGACTATGAGTATTGCATGGTCATTTTCTTGTGAAGTATCAGTGCTAGGCATTTCACACTTACCAAGGACCACCCCTAAAACCACCATCTCTGAACCACATAAGCACCTCAGAATAGCCAAAGCTTTTATGGTTTGGTAGATAGCACTATGGCGAAAGCGTCGTTTTTGGGTGTGGTCAGTTTCGGACGTTTCGTCCCTAATTGGGGTTCGGGCAGCAATACCATGTTGACCGCTATGGTCGACTTGCCCTAAAACGGTTGAGATTATCTGTCCTAAATAAAATGCAAACAAACTCATATACAGGTCCTAGATTATATTGAATTTATCAATGGCGAAACCACGATAACTAAATGTTTACAATGTTTACAATTTGTTTAAATATTTCAGTAAATCGGTATATTACATCGAATAGCTTCGGTAACGGCGTGATAAATATAAAGTGATTTCCTGCGTCAGTTGTGGGATTTACGAAAACACCCTTCTTTTCGTTTATAACAGACTGAAAAGCTTTTTTCTGATGCGCAGTGTTTAAAACTTTCAAATTTACTGTAAAAATACTAGACTTGTTGATAACAGCCCATGCATGTGAAGGTCATTGAAGATCGATCTTCCAATTATTGTGTAGATGATTGTGTTTGGTTAATTGCCCAATCTCGAAACCAGAGCCCGCAATCCTCTGTGGAGGCTTGCTGAGGCTCTGGGAAACACCGGCGACTTTTGCACGAAAATCAGTACAGTTGGATCCAGTACTCCTCTCGACATGTATAAATAGACATTACTGCCATCAAACATGAATAGGCAATTCCAGCTTTTAGTTTATGCCTGCAGGGGATGCTGGGAAGTAAGGTATCATATTGCCGATTATGCTGAAAAATTTCAATAAAAACTACCGAAACAACCGAAAAATTTCAATATTTACAAGTATAAGCTATCACTCCGTGTTTACACGGCCACCATTCTTATTTTTTCAGCATAATCAGCAATGTGATACCTTACTTCCCATCGTCCCCTGCACGCATAAACTAAAAGCTGGAATTGCTAATTATGCCGTTGTTTAAGCTTAATACGATTTTAATTCTTCAAAGAACACTTGCCATGGTTTTGAATTGTTGTAAGATACTGGTAGTGATTTATTTTAACTTGTTTAATTAATTACGGTAAATCGTGGATTGTTGTGTTATTTTAAATATTATAGGCCACGGCTTATCATGACCTTATATGGTAATGCTGCACTGTTGTTATTCTACATTTTGTTATTACTTATTGGCATAACGTTATGCTGTGTGTTTCATTGATATGTTTAAACATAATACACAAAGAGAAATAAACTTTATATTAATTTTAAACGATGTTTGAATCACTAAATACGGCTCACAGTTGGAATAATAATTAGCACTTGAAAAACAATCAATCAGAGCCCGACTTTCGCTGGTGTTTCCCAGAGCCTCAGCAAGTCTCCTCAGAGGATTGCAGGCTCTGGTTTAGAGATTGTTAATTGCCGAGAAGTCAAATGTATAGCGAATGTGAGCAGACGTTAGGTGGGGCCTCGGCCAGTAACAACTTCTGCGCAGGAGGCTATCTATTACGAGATGGTCTATCCAGTCTTAGTATATATCAGTGTCTTTACCCACGTGCATAAAAAAATAATAACAATTTTAGGATACTGAAACTGAGCATGATATTTAGTATATTTAACAATTTATATTCACAGAAGGTGGAGAGTGCAAGGATATTCATCGAGCTGTGCAGCGGTAAGGTGAATATCGTTGCACTATTCACCCACACTGAGCGAATAATTGTTTTAGCACAGGGTTTATTTTAACGTGCAGTTCTACCCAAAATGTGCAGTTTAAACCCATTTTTGCAGTTCTTAAAACTCAAATGTGCAGTCATCAAATTAACCGAAAAATATAACCTCAAACAAGTCTTCTCATTTACTTGTTTTCTTTGTGGATGCCCCAGAAATCAGAAATACTGTCATTGAGCATGAAAAATCTAAATGTTTTCTGGGAGACGACCATCAGACCCTCATATTTTCCTTACAAATCACATACGTGCTGGGGGTAATGGAACAGGAGGTAAAATTGGTGCGAGCGAAGCTATCCAAAAGAGATTAGAGTGGGAGAACCTAATATTCTTTGCTGCCTAAGGTTATTATATATTGAGTATTCATGATTCCCAGTTACATGTTTTGAAACAGTTTTTGTAGGGGGTTGGGTGAAACAAATCTTTGCCAAAACTTACGAGCCTCTAAAATCAAAAGTTGGGGGGGGGCACTCCCTACCTGTGGCTCCCCCACCCAGAATCGAGTTTGTCTGGCCCCACCCAACCACAACTTCTTTACCACCTATATACAAATTAAGAGTCTATCATAATTTACAACGTTTAATTATAAATTTACAACGTTAAATATAGATAGAAATCCTTTGACCCCCAGTCAAACACGTGATGCTTCGTAGAATCCTTATTAAATATGTGCGGTTCCAAATTTTTCTTAAAAAAACCTGTTTTAGCATATACCACAAAATTTGTATTTATAGCTAAAAATGTTGCAAACAAAACAGTATTTATTAACCCATTGAGTTGCATTGGGCCCAGATGCGCCCTACTTTATTATTTTACTCTGTCTAACGCTAGACGATTTTACTCGTCAAGGCGTTTAATGGGTTCAATGAAGCTGCAGTTCCATGAAACAACAAAATTCTAATGAATAAATTTACTAAAAGCTTGTAAGTACTGTTTTGTTTACAATATTTTTAACTACGACACGGGGGGCTGTATCACGAATTATAAAATAAAAATTGAACTGAATATTCAATTTTGTCGTACATGCTAAGGCGGCTCGATGAATAACCTTGCACTCTTCACTTCAATGAATAATTGTTAAATATCATGCTCAGTTTCAGTATCATAAAATCGTTATTATTTTTTATGCACGTAGGTAAAGGTCCCTGGCTTTGTTTACAATTAGCAAGGATTAAAATTTTGACTATACAAAAGATTATATAGTTATACTCCAATTTAATTTACAATGCATACAACAACAATAACAAAAAAAACAAAGTCCTCTTTTAGGGACTGGTCATTATTTATGTAAGGGGGAGGGGAATTTGTCTTTCCCAAATTTTTAAAATTGAAAGCTCCCCTTAAAAAGCAGATATTTAGTGGTGACCCCCCTGCGTATTAGAATAGTTTTCTCTGACCCTCCCCCCCCCCCCATTTTCATTTATACTCTGTGCTTAATGCACACTTACCCAAAGAAATTTTTTAAAAAATTAATAAAACATAAAATTTTCTCACAAATCATCGCTGTAAAATACTCACTTCCACGCTCACATTTTCTCGTGTTTCCCTCGTAACCTAATTTCTTTAGTTGGGGGTGTGGCACAGGCTTGTTCCTTTGGTTCAACTCGTCAAATAGAGATTTCCAGGCACTATAGTGTTAATTATTAAATAAGAATATGGAACTGATAAGATATTAATTAACGTCGACCAAAAATATATATTGGACCTACCGCCCCCCTTCTAGTAATTTATTTATACATATGGTTCCCCTAATTTTTGCCACCTCCCCCTAATATAAATAATGACCGTTCCCTTAGAGATTTTCAAAAACATTTGCCTGCAACTGTTAGGAAATTAAAAACCTATATTTATAAAGATGGCAAGAAGATCAATCCATACTTTTCAATGGACAACTTGCATGTCAGACTAAATTTTAATCTAAGCAGAGAAAAGGGAATCAAACACGTACCACAGCTGAAAAGAATATACTAAAATTAGTAAAAGTGCAAAATTTGGTTGCGAAATGTTGTAAAGCTTGGAAAATATAGCTTTGTAAAGTTTGCATATTTTCAGTTTCATTTTCTGCTCAAAAATGGTAACAATTTCCGCACGTAATACAAATATACTGAAAATATGCAAACTTTACAAAGCTATATTTTCCAAGCTTTACAACATTTCGCAACCAAATTTTGCACTTTTACTAAGTTTAATAAGTTCTTAACGAGAATTTACTTTTTTTTTTGTCTAGATCGGCTAGATCAAAAATTTGTCTAACATGCAAGTTGTCTATTTAAAAACGCATGTACTTTATAAATCCTGCATAAGCATAGCAATTTAGTAATTAATATCTGTCGTTCATCAAATAAGGTAAATCAATTGAAGCTAAAGACAGACACATATTGACAAATGACAATTTAAAATACGTAAGATATGGTCATAGTACATGTACATCAGTAATATCGTATTCGTTCACTCCTGTGTCATCGCCATTCCTGTAATAATTAAATATTTTAAGGAGAATTTAAAATTAACTCAATCAGAACGTTGATATCGAAATTGATGAGACCGGATTTCACACTAGAGTGACCAGACTGACTAGAAACACCTTAGGGGCCGATTACATGGAGAACTTTCAACCCCGGGGTTGAACTCAGCCCTGTTAACCGGGTTGGAATTTTTTGCGATTACATGGACGATTTCAACCCCGGGGTTGAAACGCTATACTATACGTTGTCGGCGTCGATTCCCGGAAGTAAAAAGCCTTTATTTTGTTTTCTTGTAATAAATAGTCACTACCACGTATGCTCGAATAAATTGCTAGCTGAATAAATTGCTAGCTGAAGCAGGGTTGAAACTTCAACCCCGGGGTTGAACTCAGCCCTGGGTTGAAAATTTTGTCATGTAATCGCGCGTTTGATTTTGATAGAGTTTTGTATTACAGACAGGGCTGAAATTTCAACCCGGTAAACAGGGCTGAGCTCAACCCTGGGGTTGTAAATGCTACATGTAATCGGCCCCTTAGTCTAAACACGTCGGCTAATATAGTAATATTTTGTCTTGTTCTGTTGTTTATACAATTATACTAATAATTAGTATAGTCTTTATTAATTAAATAAAATGCGTGAAGAAGGAATATCTTCAAAGAACTGACAACATTTTACATATTGTCTTTTCTCGTGTATTGTCTTGTCCGAGATGGGTCAAATTGGCCCCTTCGAAGAGTAGTGTTATACTCTCATGTGGAGTAGGCTGCTGGAGTCGCAAGATTCCCGCGAAGAGTATTTTGATCCTTCCATGGAGTCAAAACTACCCTTGTAGTTGAAACAACCATTTCGAAACAACCCTTACTTCGAAACCCGGACTCGGACCCGAACTCGGACTCGAAGAAAATTCGGACACGAGAAAAACCCGGACCCTGACCTGAAAAAAATCCGGACTCGTGTTTAAAAAAAAACGGACTTGACTTTTGAAAACCCGGACTCAAAAGAGACAAAACCGGATTCAAAACAAGGACTCTGTGTACGAGAATGCAAAGGTCTTTTGGAAAGGTTTAATAATAGTTAACATGATAAACGATGATCTCTTTATAGCAATAATCAGTATGAATAAATTTCTAGAGTGCTGTTAAACCATCTGGCGCAATGCTGATAAAGAATCTGAGTTGCATCGGTAATAACTCGCGGATTTGTGCTCTCGCGCGGGTGTCCCTCTTTCTTCCCGCTTTCTTTATTGATATAGATAATAAATAGAATACTTTATTTCAAAAGCAATAAACTTTGGTTTCGAAAGATGTAGATACTTTTTTCTTCTAGTTAAGTGACTAAGTGTAGTATGTAATTTATAAATGTGTTATATGTGTCATGTGAGGATACTAATCAGCTATCATACTATATGGTTCCTCACAAAATAATCATTATATAGCCTACATGAACAAATAATTTAGGCACGTAAACACCAAAATCGATTTATGGATACTTCTGCGAGTAGCTAAATCTATCCTAGACCTAAATTAATAACTAAAATCTGTCTCAGCAGTCAGGAATGTCTTGTCTGTAAAGCATCTCGTTACACGATTGCTGCCATCATGCCATAGCAGACTCAACGTGATCGATGGCGGCAAGGGTAAAATATATCCTCAACACATTCGACCTCACTATTAGCAAAATGACACAAAAAATAACTAGACTTCAACCAATCAAAAGTAACGTCGAATCAACCAATCAAAAAGAAATTCGGAAAAGCACGTCCCATGTTGAAGGCAATGAAGGTGTCGCGGCAACCGCGCCTAAATACCAACTGTGAAGTAATTCGAGCGTTGTTGTGCGGATGGACATAAATTTGATATTATATCATGCTCTCAAATATTTGGGCAAGACGCTACTGGAAACACGTTTATTTTCTCAATTTCGTTAAGATAAGTCCATAAACACAAATTGAACACCCGCAATTATTCCTTATCAAAATAGCAGAAAACACATCACAATGAAAGCAACAGTCGCACCCGCGGCCGACAGTGAAATTCGCGTTGGGTGGTTGGTATAAATTTTGATATTGAGACTCTCTCGTTGGGCAATGCGTTCATCAATTGTCCCATATGCCTTGCATACAACCGCGGCTCGATACTGACAATGAAGTTTGACAATAAATCAAGATAACGTTATTTTGAGAATAAACAATCAACATTCTACCCTCTAGCTACGTGTAGATCGTATGCATCAATACATTTTAATTTTTAATAACTTAGTTTAAAGTGCCTAAATGATTTCGTTCCAGTATATCTAAGTGATTATTTTGTTAACAGTAGAAGAATAAAAAATATGAAGATAAAGATATAAAGAGATCATCGTTTATCATCTTACTAATTATTAAATCGTTCCAAAAAACCTTTGCATTCTCGTACACAGAGTCCTTGTTTTGAATCCGGTTTTGTCTATATCGAGTCCAGGTTTTCAAAAGTCAAGTCCGGGTTTTTTTAAACACGAGTCCGGATTTTTTTCGAGTCCGGGTCCGGGTTTTTCTCGAGTCCGTATTTTCTTCGAGTCCGAGTTCGGGTCCGAGTCCGGTCCGGGTTTCGAAGTATGCCCTTTCGAGGAGTAAAATTCCAAAGGGACGGAAATGGCCCCTAGGGGTCAAAACTACTCTTATGAATTTACAGTATAGACAGTTGTTATTAAAACCGGGCTTCCTCTCGCAAACATCAATTCAACCCTGGAATAGTGCATTACTCCGTTAGCGCGACGTTACATCTATCAGTGTAACTGATATTTTGTCCAACACTTCAACCACAGGTTTTGCCTGTGGAAACGGTAAGACGTTCATTTGATTTGTTTGCCACTGGATCAAGGCATGCATAGACATTCAATGAGATTTTTATTTGTAGCCAAATAATAACAAGACACCGGCATTACTATATTAATCTTAATTCATGTATATATTTATACCTTTATTTACACTTGTAATCACCTTGTAGTTCAGTAACTTTACTGCAAGAAGTGCGATTTTATTAAACTATCAAACTAAACTAACTATCCAACTAAACTATCCATACAGCCAGATAGCAACTGGAATTCTGTCTAACAAAGTTTTTATTGAAGTTTGAAGCAAACCGGCTGCTCATATCTATACCTCAAATGTGTCCCCGATTCCTTTTCAAAGGAATACTCTTAGGCAGTCAGGTCGAAATACGCCCATAAATCGTTGATTTCCACAATCAATTCAGTTTCTTTTCACAAGAGATATGACTACCTCTCAAAAATACAAACGGAACATCGGCGTATCGAGCGAAGGTCCTTCGTCATAGACCATACTATCTTCCCAACGAAAGGCCTTCACAGAAAGGGCTTCACTCGAATATGCGTGTTGTATGTGTTCACTCGAATATGCGCATTTTACACTTTATGACGACTGGAGCAACCGTAAGTCATTTTCCGCAAGCTTTTATTTCTTTGAGAGCGAATTATCCAACGTTTTTATGGTTTAGTTTATTTGGTATTACTTTAATCTCTAACTCTAAGTTATATTTGACGATTATTAAGTGTTCCATGCAGCTTTTATACGCCGAAATTCAAGAGCTACTTGTGCTTCGTGTATTCAACATGGCCGCCATTTTTTTGTATCTGCGAAGCAGATATACATCTAATTGCATTAAGGTTGTCCTCCGACAAAGCTAAAAGGTAAAAGCCAAGCGCAAAAAGTACGATGGGGGTGACTAGTTTGAATTAATCAACTGCGTTTAATAAATACTTATTTTCCCTAATTTGAACGGCATGGCTAATGTTTATGGAGTTTGCCAGTTCATGACGACCCGCACGCCTATTGATTAAATTATCTTGAAGGTGTTAGTTATCACAGCATTATTAGTCGAGGTGGTAAGAGTGGTGACATGTACAGGGTGTATCAAAATAAACGCAATTCATCTTTTGTGCTTAATAACTTTTGAAATACTATTTCTAGTTAAACGCTTTTAGGCTTACTTCAAAGCCTGTTCTTTTCTCTTTCAAACAAACTATTATCCTTGTCTCCAATGCTAGTAATAATTGCACAGGAAAAGATTTAGTAAAACCTATCATTTTTAGTTGCTGTTTAATTATGCAAGTTTACTATGTTATTGTTTAGTCGGTTTAAATGTTAGAATTTTCTTCTTTAAACTTTAATGTTGTCGTCACTACATCTGGAAAACCACGTAAGAACAAATTAAAAGTATTTTAAAAGAGACCAGGTTGTTTGAAAATCCTAAACGAATGCTAAAAATCATAGAATCAAAACATTCTGGTGTCTGAGCCAGAGTGTCATCGAATTGCGATGTAATGTAAACAGAAATTATAGCAAGTTGATGTCAGTCAGCTTAGATGGTCCAAGCCAAAATTATATCGCATTTGAAGTTTCAAACTGAGTTAAAAATAGTGGAAGAAAAGCCGTAATTATACTTATTGTTACAATCCATTTAATAAAATGCAACATTTTTTGTTTTAATGAAAAAATCAGTTATTTTCATGAGAACGATTTGTTATTCCATCTCAATTTTTTTAATCTCCAATCGCAATAACGTAAAGTATTATTACCCGCGAACCAATGAGTCAAATTTAAGAAACAACCCATTGTTAGAAAGCTGAATGGCTACGCTTTAAAATGAATGTAAACTTTAAAGTTTTCGTATATTATTTGTTTAGCAATTTACATTTCAGTCGAGGATTGCGCTTTTTTTTATACACCCTGTATAATGAATTTATAGTGGAATAATTTATGCGTGCATGAAATTTAACCCCATAGATATGATATAGCAAATAAGTAACTGAGCTAACATACAAACCAGGTTGTCATCACCAACTCATAATAATGTTAGCAGACAATGCCGCGCAAAGTTCAAATTGCGCCAAAATTGGTCTGAAGAAGAGTGCATTCTGCTTGACAATCGTGTGTATGGATTCAGGATGGAGATCAAGATCGAACAAACTGGCAATATTTTGATGGCTGCTTATTAAAGAATAAAGATTAATGCGAAGTATTTTCAATCAGTAGGGTTAGGTAATAGTCAAAAGGCTATAGCCTTTAGGTATTCCAGCACGCAATCAGTTATTATTTCTTTAGTATATACAGTATGCTAGATATGATACCACGTCTTTCAAGCAGGGCTATCACAACCGCGAGTTGATTGTACTATATTCGTTATTTAATCACTCATTTCTATATTTTGATACAAGGTAGCACAAGACAAATAATATTTATTTACATATATATACCGGGTGGCGCAAAAAAGTTCAGGCGTTTGATCTACCATAGCGAAAAAACTATAAGAGCTATACATCGCTCAGATACTGAAATGTAGCTGTATTCATAAAAGGCTAACTTAAATTTTGATAGGTTATACATGAGATATCACGAAATATTGACTGAGATATCAGCGTTTAAATTAAACTTGCGTATAGCATTTTCAAAAGAATCGAAAATTAGTCTAAAATGGCCCATTGAACTTAATTTGATATCATTCTCATTAGACATTACGCTGGGCATCGCCAGATTATTTCCCGGGCGAGCTAGTGATGAGTAAACGCGGAGATGAGCCGTACCCCTGGCTTTCAGATTTGACAATATCCATTTTTTTGTGGCTATACCTATAGAGTATATAGTTGAAATATCAAATTTGGAGTATGCCACATCGACAGCGCTAGGTTTTGGAATAATATCTAGAATACTTTTAGTGAAAACTCTTGTGTCAAAAAGATGTCCCATCTTTTGCTGACAGGTTATGAAGATGTCCCATTTTTTCTTAACCAGTGGGAGCTTAAAAGGAGTCTTATATTATTCTTTGCATCAGGCTAAGTTACACTGAGTATAAGGCGATGCAGCTTGCGCTACTATAGGTTTTGGAATAATATCTAGAATACTATTAGTGAAAACTCTTGTGTCAGAAAGATGTCCCCTCTTTGCTGACAGGTTATGAAGATGTCCCATCTTTTCTTAACCTGTGGAAACTTAAAAGGAGTCTTATATTATTCTTTACATCACGCTAAGTTAGAGTAAAACGGTGCATGGCTGCATGCAGCGATAGCGCTAGGTTTGGGAATAATATCTAGAATACTTTTAGTGGAAACTCTTGTGTCAGAAAGATGTCCCATCTTTTGCTGACAGGTTATGAAGATGTCCCATCTTTTCTTAACCAGTGGAAGCTTAAAAGGAGTCTTATATTATTCTTTACCTCACAACGCAGGCGCGGGCGTAGATTCCGTAGATTAGCTAAGACAATGGTGTCAATGCAGCTATTGTTTTTGGAATAATATATACATTTGATATATACGTTAGTGAAAACGTTTGTACCAGATTCATGTGCGCACTAGGGCCTATAGGGAAAGGCGGTATAATTATATAACTTTATAAGTCAGTTTCTTTATTATTTAGCCATAGAAAACTTAGTACGCCTTTGAAGCCGGATTTTTTATACTGCCAAAATCTAAAACGGCAAATATGTTCCGCGGTCTTGACATGGAATTATCGTGCTATTCTCTAAGATACCAAGAACGTTTTGTTTTACAACACAAGTCTTAACATTACATATTATATACGCAGCCTTATTACACATTGTACGCTATATAGTATAGCCTGGCCCAAGGTGACTTGTCAACAGTCAGCATTGTGACATATTTGTACACTTTTATTTTAATGCATAACAGAAAATTAACTTATTACTTGCTTGGTTTCACACTGCGTCTAAGCAACTGAACCTGGATTGATGACATCTTATAGCGGTAATTAATAATGCGATTAGCGTTGCTCGCTTCCTGAAGTTGCAAACTCAGTGTGCAGATCCCGCTGTTTTTCAAGACGTGCGGGTCGTCATGTTGCATTTGAAGTAGACTTAATGTATGTAACGCATGAGTCAATTCCAGGAGTAACCATCTATCCCCCCCCGGAACACACACGGGCATTTGATTTGATTGGTTACGATCGTGTAAATGCCCGGGTGCCGGGACACAACTTGAAGACTAATGCACCGGCCCTTGGGCAAGCTGAGAGTGGAAAATGCCCAACCCCGGGGACGATTTTAAACGTTAATTAAACTTTTAATGGCATATAATAGCATAGCCATTTAATAACATTATAGTATTACTGCGATTTGCAGTTGAGCTTAGAGACAGGAAGTTTTACCACGCAGTTTGATCGTTGAAACGCACAATTACCAAGGGCAAATTCAAATGTTGTCAAGCGGAAATGCGAATGTTGTCATGGGAAATTTAGGCACTTTCGGCCAATCACAGTGAAGAAGGCGCCCCAACGCCTCAATAAATTTCACGCCACCTTGACCATGAGGGCGCAAAATACGATCAGCGCGCCCACATGCTTACCTGAAACTACAATCTTGGACAAAACCCTTGAGACCATTTCAGCTAATATTACAAAGTTATTGAACATTGACAAAACAAACTTTGTCCCCCCCTCCCCCCAGTTCAATGTTGTGAACAACGCCGAAACAACTTTTGGTAATATACCATGATACAAGCTCAACATTGAGTTGGGGTAGCGGGGGTTTAAGGATGGCAACATGATTCAACATGGAGTTTATCATAAAAATACGGGAATTTTCTATGGCGGGGAAATAGTCTCAACCAGTTATGTCCAAGATTGTCTGAATATGGGAATTTTACAAGCATACCAATTGTTTGAGAGTTATGGTTAGAAAGGCAGATAAGTTAGTGTTGCAATGGAGGAAAAATTATTAAATATATGTTACACTGCAAGGACTGTAGGTAACCGAAATTTTTATCCATATTAGCAATCGTTCCAGGCGATGCAAAATCTATATTTATATTGTAAGTAAAGGGAAATTAATTAGGAGGACATAATACACGTCTGGATGAAAGTAAATTATTTATTGGATTTTTGGTAAACTTGATTTCTACCTTATTCCATATCATCATTGAAAGCTTCGTATAGTGAATGTAAAAACATATCCAACACTAAAAGTAACCGAATTGGTCAAACTTGATAACATGGTTTGCTCAGAAAACGCCTATTCTCTCTAACGTGCGAACGTTCCCTGGTCCATTTGAACCAATTAGCTACTGCTACAGAACATAGCTACAGAGTTTAAAAAGAAATGGAATCATGGACATGCTAAACGTTGTCTACACAGCTATTTTCATATAGGCAATCGGCACTTTTCACAGGTTATTATAGTATGGCGACCCCCCACGAGGAACAAAGAGTCGCCTGTACAATGTTCAAATTGGCCATAGTAAAGAAATACGAGTATATCGCCATGACTTTTGGAGCATAAACCTTTTATAATAATATATAAGAACATTTCAAACGATTAACGAAAAGATTTGATGTGATATTGACGGTAAACGGGGATAGCAGCAAGATATTATAGTAAATGATAGGTCTAGTCATTGTTTTAAATTGGAGTCGCCGTTTACCGTTCTAATGGCCTGTTTACCGTTCTTTTATCAAACCACGATAAAGATTATACTTGGTTAACCGTCATATAAAAAATTTCGGGTTAAATTATAAGTTTTAAAAGCAAGTTTGAGGCTGATAAACTATAGAACAAATGACGTCATCTTATAAAAAATACCTATATACAGCAACACTTGAACGTGATATTTACATAATTGAATTAAATCCCAATGCATGTGTCTCGACCTCTATGCCCTAGTAACATGATATTACTCGCTTCTGGCAGTAGAAAACTATATATTTTAGATGAAACAACAAGAAAAATTCATGCGTTTCATGCGTATATTTTAGGATGTGACAAGTTCGAATAGGCATTATTTTGCTCACTTTTCATGCAAACGAATATATATATTGCTCGAAAAACAAGAAGTAACGTGTATATCCGTCTTTCAGACTACTGGAGTGGAAGAAAATTAAAAAAGATTGAGTTATAATGCACATTTAAATTCAGTGTGCTTCAGACAATCTTGGACAAAACCCTTGAGACCATTTCAGCTAATATTACAAAGTTATTGAACATTGACAAAACAAACTTTGTCCCCCCCTCCCCCCAGTTCAATGTTGTGAACAACGCCGAAACAACTTTTGGTAATATACCATGATACAAGCTCAACATTGAGTTGGGGGAGCGGGGGTTTAAGAATGGCAACATGATTCAACATGGAGTTTATCATAAAAATACGCGAATTTTCTATGGCGGGAAAATAGTCTCAACCAGTTATGTCCAAGATTGTCTGAATATGGGAATTTTACAAGCATACCAATTGTTTGAGAGTTATGGTTAGAAAGGCAGATAAGTTAGTGTTGCAATGGAGGAAAAATTATTAAATATATGTTACACTGCAAGGACTGTAGGTAACCGAAATTTTTATCCATATTAGCAATCGTTCCAGGCGATGCAAAGTCTATATTTATATTGTAAGTAAAGGGAAATTAATTAGGAGGACATAATACACGTCTGGATGAAAGTAAATTATTTATTGGATTTTTGGTAAACTTGATTTCTACCTTATTCCATATCATCATTGAAAGCTTTGTATAGTGAATGTAAAAACATATCCAACACTAAAAGTAACCGAATTGGTCAAACTTGATAACATGGTTTGCTCAGAAAACGCCTATTCTCTCTAACGTGCGAACGTTCCCTGGTCCATTTGAACCAATTAGCTACTGCTACAGAACATAGCTACAGAGTTTAAAAAGAAATGGAATCATGGACATGCTAAACGTTGTCTACACAGCTATTTTCATATAGGCAATCGGCACTTTTCACAGGTTATTATAGTATGGCGACCCCCCACGAGGAACAAAGAGTCGCCTGTACAATGTTCAAATTGGCCATAGTAATGAAATACGAGTATATCGCCATGACTTTTGGAGCATAAACCTTTTATAATAATATATAAGAACATTTCAAACGATTAACGAAAAGATTTGATGTGATATTGACGGTAAACGGGGATAGCAGCAAGATATTATAGTAAATGATAGGTCTAGTCATTGTTTTAAATTGGAGTCGCCGTTTACCGTTCTAATGGCCTGTTTACCGTTCTTTTATCAAACCACGATAAAGATTATACTTGGTTAACCGTCATATAAAAAATTTCGGGTTAAATTATAAGTTTTAAAAGCAAGTTTGAGGCTGATAAACTATAGACCAAATGACGTCATTTTATAAAAAATACCTATACACAGCAACACTTGAACGTGATATTTACATAATTGAATTAAATCCCAATGCATGTGTCTCGACCTCTATGCCCTAGTAACATGATATTACTCGCTTCTGGCAGTAGAAAACTATATATTTTAGATGAAACAACAAGAAAAATTCATGCGTTTCATGCGTATATTTTAGCATGTGACAAGTTCGAATAGGCATTATTTTGCTCACTTTTCATGCAAACGAATATATATATATTGCTCGAAAAACAAGAAGTAACGTGTATATCCGTCTTTCAGACTACTGGAGTGGAAGAAAATTAAAAAAGATTGAGTTATAATGCACAATTAAATTCAGTGTGCTTCAGACAATCTTGGACAAAACCCTTGAGACCATTTCAACTAATATTACAAAGTTATTGAACATTGACAAAACAAACTTTGTCCCCCCCTCCCCCCAGTTCAATGTTGTGAACAACGCCGAAACAACTTTTGGTAATATACCATGATACAAGCTCAACATTGAGTTGGGGTAGCGGGGGTTTAAGGATGGCAACATGATTCAACATGGAGTTTATCATAAGAATACGGGAATTTTCTATGGCGGGAAAATAGTCTCAACCAGTTATGTCCAAGATTGTAGGTTTTGCTGCCTTAAAATTTTCGGGTGGGATTCTGGGCAACCATTTGTCAAATCCCCGGTGTCCTTAGCTACTATAACAATACCCGACCCCCGTGCACGTATATCTGAAAGGCAAATTCCCGACCCCCGTGAACTGTCTATCAGGCAAATTCCCGGGGGTATCCCCCGGGGGGAAGGTTACTCCAGGAATTGACTCATGCATATGCATAAGTCGTGCATACCTCCAAAGTAAAATTTGTTCACACATAACTTGCAGACAGTTGTGAAGTATAGGGTGTATGAAATAAAGTGTTCAAATTCAAATTAGACATAACCATTTGTGGTAATTTTGACAGCTACGTATAAATCACTTCGAATTACTATACGCAAAAACATAAAGGTCTTACTGATACGATTGCAAGTTATTCTAAATTCCCATGTGTAAAAGACCTTGTGTTTGTACGCACCATTAGTTCGTGGCAATTGGGGCTGTCAGGTCACTATAATAACACAGAATAAAGATCAGTAACAGAAGGGCCACTCAGCGATGCAACGTGTCCTCGTTTTTTTTATGCAAATATGCAGCCTACTGGCCAGAAGGGGGAGCAGCCAACCAGTACTGCAGCGTGTTGTTATTGGCCAGAAAATGTCATTGACTGGCTAGGAAAATGGCGGCCAACATGCGTAATGCGACATGCGCGAGGACAGAAACTTCAAAGCTTCCGACGTAAGTGGCCCTTCTACATGGATCTTTATTCTATGACAATCAGGGGCGTAGCGAAGGGTGGTCTAGAGGGGGGCCTGGCTACTTGACTTTAATCTATATTTATGTACGTCAATTTATCAGTGCGTATAGCCAAGGGGTGGGGGGCGTGGGGCACAACAAAAGCCATTCTCTCAAAAAGTCTAAATCCGTAGAGCAATTGGGGGGGGGGGAGGGTTACACATTATATTCTCGAAGCTAAAACTGACAAAACTCCACTGAGGACAACAACGATTTACTGCGTGATTTGTAAATCTCTTTAATGCCTTTGTTGAGATGGTTCCAAAAGGAACGGATTTAGTTTAGGTTTTTAACTGTTGAATACATGTATTTCATTATCATAGTATCTGTATTTCATATCAAACTAATTCTATATCTTATAAAAAGTAATGCAATTGTGAGAATTCAGGAAATAGTGCCTCAGAAATATTAAATGCAAAATTTCGGATCAATATCACATTGGGACTTTCTCTACATCTCAATTAATTCCGAGTCGTAATGTCTGGGGAAAAAGTCATGTCTTTGATCAGGAATACTTTTAAGCATTTTAGTCAACGACCATTTTTCAGCAGAAGATTGAGTTTTTAGGGGGAAGGCTCTGGGGGGAAGGTTGGCTAACATATATGTTTTGGCGCCATTAGCGATTATGTTATGACTTGTCGTCACATGAAGTAGCGTCATATCCGCTGATTATATTTTTGAACGAGGTGCTTGTTACAGTGCTGCATGTGCGTTGGTCGTGCTTTAGTTTGCTGACTGCCGTATTGATTTAAACTTTGCAGATGCAAGAATCAAATATTTGTTCCTTTTACAACTAAATATTCGTATTTGCCACAATTTCTTCCGGGTGTATTGTACAAAACTTAAGTTATGGAGGAAGATTGCGTTCCAAAACTCAATTGAAGATTTAGTTTTACTACTGTATACCGGTAGTAGTAAAATGCGTGTGAATACTCCGATTGATGTACTTTATAATCTTCGAAATTCTGCAATATTTCACCGCCAAAATGCTTGGAATCGGATTTTCAGGGACTCGATCCAGATTTGAAAATAACTACCCAGATTACTCCCTCCCCCCTACCTGGTCTCACACCTTCGGCGTTCCCTTTGCATCCTAAAAAATAAGGCTCTGGTTATGGCTCCGTAGTTTATTCCAATGGACTGCCCAGACCTGCTACGACTGGATTACGCAGTAGTCAACGTAAAACGTATCAGAAAGGCAGATGCTAAATACATTTCCGCCGCCGCCAAAAAAAACCAGAGGAAATGAAATCGGTCCAACAGTCCAATCAGTCCAACAGAGCTTTTCTGGTGTTAACCACCCCTGTGACTGTAGCCAAGGATGAAAGAACTTTTAGTAAGTTAAAATCAGTGAAAACCCTGTGCAGAGCAAAAACTATAAGGACGAGCGATTAGAAGAACCTATGTTCATGGCTTGTGAAAAAGACTGATTTAATACTTGTACAGACTCTAGCCACCCTGTGAGCTTGTTTGAAATCAAGGCAAATTGTCATCACTCTAAGTGTAAATTGGACGTGATTGTAGTTGCCTATTCTTTGATTTTGTTAGTCCTTTAGTTGTTCAGAGTAGTTACAATATTGATACACCGTGATTTTTTTCTGTGTTGGTTTAATGTAATTGATACACCGTGTTAATATAAAACAATTCTTAATAGATATTAAAAATTACATTGAAATATTATTGAAGGATATTTATAAAAAATTTAAATCGTTATCGTAAACCACGCCCAAACCACGCCCAGGTTTAATTTTTTTTTGAAAACTGAAAATTCGCGTCGCGTTGCCGAATCGCGTCCGGTCTGTGTGGGACTTTATACGTTTGAGAATTTAACTTTGCAAGACTAAAGCTTTTTTATAATAGTTTTGTTTGTGGAAACACCACCTAAATTTATTACTGCAAAGCTTTTTTTTAAAGCTTTTTTTTAAAGCTTTTATTTAAAGCTATATCTTATATATAATTTTGCCAGGCTTGTATAAGCATTTTTTTAGCTGCATAGAGTAGAAATTAAAATTGTACTCTATGCTGTTAAGAAACTGCTCATACAAACATCGCCAAATTTATATATAAGCTATGTTATGATCTATTGAATATTTTTGTGGCATTTTCTTCGTTGTCAAAATTGGGAAAACTGGTCAAATCAAACATACCTTGATTTCTATACAGTATATTAAAGAAACATGACCTTCTAACATTTTGCGATTTATCAAAAAATTAAAGCATGCTGTACATTGATATCCAAAAGAATAATTCATTTGACGATATATTTTTACTTGAAAACACTTTAAAAGGACTAATTAATCTAGTCGTCTATTTTACCGCCGCCATCTTGTTTTCCGCGTAAATCTCGCGTATGCGCAGACAAATTGCACCTATGTTAATGTAATAATGCAATTAGGTTAGCACTATTCCCACAGAGCCTCAAAGTCATTTGTTGTAACATTATCATTAGATCTTATTATAAATTCTAAATTTTCTCGAATGTAAAAACCCACACCTCCAACATTAAATTACTTGGTTAAGACGTAAAGACGAACCCAGGTAAAGTTATGTTACAATCAAACTCTTGGTCAACTTTAATTTTGATTTCAGCATGAATAATAAAATAAATGCCAGGATAGGAAACTAGCTGAAGTGACCTAATGCTTTCAATGGGCTGATGGCGTGGTTGGATGTTCACTAGTTGCAAACCAAATTCTCAAAAACGGCATATTTAGCAATAATACAGCTAAATATTTTAGTCAAAGAGCAACTAAATGTAACTAGGCCATTCTACGATGAAATCTCTAAGTATTCCCAGTCAATTTTATTACTCTTTTAAAGCGAAAAATATAGCAAAACAACAAAAACGCTGAGAACTTTGGCTATGCGCTTGACGTCGCAAATTGCAACTAGATTTAGACTGTAACGTCAGGGAGTTTCCTATCCAGTTATTTTACAATCCATGATATCAGTAAGTCCCACAATTGAAAAAGGAAAGTATAATACTATAATAAGTGATGAAAGATTTCAATTGTCCCATGTCATATTTATTATTCAGTTCTTTTCAAGAAAATACAAAATGTGAATCACGGTTTTTCGCAGATACATGTACGCGTCGCGAACCTATATTTACATTTTGCATTATTTATATTTGTGTGTTATACCCAGTGGTTATACCGCACAGACATGGTATTTTAACAGCTACAATCTTGGCCATAAACCGTAGAACCACGATAAATTTTTATGCATTGTTAAGGCCTCGCGCCCCCTTCCCCCCATTAAATGTTGCCGTTTCGTGTATATTTATGATCGGACCTACTCTACAACAAAATTGTACGTGTACTAAAAATGTGGGAGAGCAATATTGAATGGAGGGAGCGGGGGAGGTGCAAAATGATTTTAAAACCCAAGTATATTAAAAAGTTGCGAATTTGTTTTGTCGTTCTATGAACTTTTGCCAAGATTGTCTGAAAATTGCTACATGTTCATTTCCACGAAAAATGCATTTAACCTTGTATACTATTTACGTCTTTAGTTAAGATGGCTCTGCTAACCTGCTCAAGTTATACTTGCTTTCAGGGTTACATATAAGACAATCATGGTCTTACTCTAGTAGAAGTTGTACAATCAAACTATCAAAGTTCAATCGCTTTTTTATAAATAGGACCATACTCCTATGAAATATCTGTTTTTAAATATATATTTCAGTTGTTCATAAAAGAAGGCAATCTATACGCTATTAGATTGAAATTAAGCCAATGTGTTTAGATAATAGAGAATTATTTGCGCAAGTAATGTAAATAAACAAGAGAAATTTTCTACTTCATTTTACATAACAACGAGTAATTGCAAGAGCTTATTGCGATATAATAATGCACTGCAAATCAATATGTAATTGTTATACGTGGAGGGGCGCCGGGCTTTCTGTAGTGTGACACTCCGTACTCAGTGACAGTATATACTCGATGAAACAAGAGCTAAGCGAACATATATGAATTTGCGCAAGTAATGTAAACAAGGGAAATTTCTTCTTTATTTTACATCAGAAAGAGTAATTGCAAGAGCTTATTGCGATATAATGATACGCTGCAAATCAATATGTAATTGTTAGACGCGCGGGCCGCCTGGGTTTCTGTATCGTGACCGACTCAGTACTCAGTGACAGTACTCAAAGAAAGAAGAGCTAAGCGAACATATATGATTTCACTGTCTGAAATAAAATGTTTTTAAATGTTGGCATAAGTGTCGCAATTCTGTTTGTTGGTTTTTGTAGGAAAATTGGGCCATTGGAAAGAACAATCACAGTACTCGTCATAACATGAGTTAAGACAATGTCTATATCTCATGTTAAGTTTGGAGGTTTTAATGAGTAATGTCAATTATTGCTTCAAATATACAATTTGCTTTACCTATTTACCATGAGATTGTAAGGACAGTAACAGTGAACAAAATGTTGTGTATATTTTATGTATTTATTTACAATCCGACGAAAAATTAAGCAAATACTGTGAGTACTGTTCATGAATACTGTCAGTTAGTTATTAAGCTACTAGCTAGAGTTCATTTATATGTATATTTTGTCCGATACGGCACCAGACTTAATTATTTGACGACCCAACGTTGAAATGTAAAGTCTGACACGGTCTATGCATGCATGCCTCTACAATGGCATCAGCAAAGCTCTTTTTTGTAAGAAATTTCTGAGTGTCCGCTCTGCTGTACGTGGCTATAAACACGATTCGTTGTTGCGCACGCGATATATTCCTTATATCTATAATTATGATATGTTGGTCTTACACAGCAAGATTAATTAAAAATTCTATTTGTCAATTGGCGTGTGTAGCTCTTTAACTGAAAATATGTATACTAAAATATATGTATAATTACGTTGTATCAGTCTGCCTTTATAACCATTACTATCCGGTTCAAAATAGACATATATGCTATTTGAAAAGAAGATTAAGGCCCTACCCAGAAATCCGGTCTCAAATTACAGTGTACAATATTTATTAATATCTACCGATTATTCAATATTGAGGAATATCAGAACGACTTTTGAAGTGTTATCCAGTAGTACAAGAACATACCTACATTTTTGAATATTTCTACCACTGGTGTTCTAAATTTAATACGTATATATGTAAAGGATTAAAAACATAATTTTCGGACAATCTTGGCCATAAACCGTAGAACCACGATAAATTTTTATGCATTGTTAAGGCCTCGCGCCCCCTTCCCCCCATTAAATGTTGCCGTTTCGTGTATATTTATGATCTGACCTACTCTACAACAAAATTGTACGTGTACTAAAAATGTGGGAGAGCAATATTGAATGGAGGGAGCCGGGGAGGTGCAAAATGATTTTAAAACCCAAGTATATTAAAAAGTTGCGAATTTGTTTTGTCGTTCTATGAACTTTTGGCCAAGATTGTAGATATATGAAAACCGTAAAACCCTGCAGAATTATTTGAAAACTGAAAAGTATTGATATCTGCCATTGCTTCTATACGTGAAATTATTTTAAATTAATTAAAAGTAACGAAGCATTGAAAACAAAATTTAAAATATGTGTTAAACGGCAAACTACAGACGGCTGACAGCAAACCACGGTTTACGGTTTAACGTCGAAGAAAAATCTAAAGGTTTCCATTATATATTTAAAAACGCGCGTTTGAGCAATGCAGTGGACACGAGTTGTTTGGATATAACGTCATTGTCGTTTCGTGTTGATACTAATTTGTTGCATTATTGTCGTGGTACGATGGCTTGACGTCCAATCACGAGTACTTGTGAGTAGTGAACTTGACTGCACATTGCAATAGCAGAGATTACAAAATCATAGAGTGGGCATTGCAGGAAAGTTCAGGCAAATGAAGGGAACAAATTTTTAAGAATATAGCCATAAAGCCTTCATACAGGATCGCAGGCGGGAAAGGCAAAATTAACCGGCTAGTTTGTCCCAGATTGCCACAATATTAAATATTCAAACTCATTTCTTACAGCTACATGATGATTATCGAGGTTTTTGTCACTCTGTTTCTGGTTTGGTTCATCTGGTATTTTATAACTACCTACATAGAAAGAAAGAAAATGCCTCCCGGACCATTTCCCTATCCCTTCATTGGAAATATTCCACAAATCTTCTCTGCAGATCGCGTCACACCATTTAGTAAACTAGCTGATAAATATGGAGATATTTTTACAGTCACTTTTCCAAACGGCAACGCTGTCATCTTGAATACAGCATCCCTAGCGCGTGAAGCCAGGCTTGCCCCCGGGAGACAAGAAGTTCTTTTGGGCAAGTCACCAGAGTCTTTCTATCCATTCCAGGAGATAATGGGTCATAATATGGCTGGATCTGATTACTCACTTGCATATCTTTTTGAGAGGAAAGTGTTTGTATCAGCAATGCATATTTTTGGGGCTGGAATAGAGCGAGCTTCTGTTCGTGCTGGTCGCGCTGTTGACATTGCGATAAAGGAAATCGAAAATAAACCAGGGAGATCTTTTTTACCTAAAAATCTTCTCGAATCCTCCATAGTTGTGCAACTTTTGGAATGGCTTACATCGAAGAAGATAGCACTGGATGACCCAATTGTGCAGGAAATCTACGAATTTAACGCGATTATGACCAGAGGAGCATTACCTTTAACAATGTATCAGTTATTTCCATTCCTACGTTACTTACCAACGCAATTGTCTCGAGAAATAAAGCGAGCACAGCAGATTAGAGAGAATATTTTCCCACTGGAATATCGAGCCCATCGGGACAGCTACATTCCAGGTACCGTACGAGATCTTACAGATAGCTTTATCAGTGCTTACGAAAAAGAACTGGCCAAAGAGATTGAAAAAGACATTGGTTCCAAAGATAGTGGTATACCAGGATTGATGGTAAATGTGGTTGCTGTGGGATCAGAAACCAGCTCGACATGGTTAACTTGGTTTTTTCTTTACAACGTCTTATATCCAAATGTGCAAAGCAAAATACACGAGGAATTAGACGCAGTAGTAGGACGTGATCGTCTTCCGAACTGGAAAGACGCAGAAAACTTGCCATACCTCCAAGCTACATTGTGTGAAGTGGCAAGGGCGTCAGGTATGGCAACACTCGCCGGGACAAACGCGATTCGTGACACAACCATCGCTGGCTACCACATTCCTAAAGGAACATTTGTCTGCCTGAATCTTCCGAAGGTGCATGAGGATAATCGAGAATGGCCAGAACCGGAGAAATTTAAACCTGAAAGATTTCTGGATGAGGATGGCAAGTTCGTCGGCTGGAACAAACTGCACGGTTTCATGCCGTTTGGCATTGGTCGTAGAGAATGTCCTGGCCAAACGTTGGCGAAGATTATGTTGTTTTCATTCGCTTCAATATTGTTACATCGTTACAAGATTGAGTTGCCTGAGGGAGCCGAGATACCAACTACTAAAGTGTCTACCCCACAACTCGCTACTAAACCAAATGATTTCCTAGTTGTCGCAGAGCCGCGAGAGCTGGGATTATTACAAGACAGACACTAGCACTGGATTGTGAAGGGTATGTTTTCTACATAAATTAGTTGTTAACTTGTTAGTGCGAAAAAGTTCTTAAAGACCTAATTTTAACATTTAACTTTCATTCCTAAGTTCTAATTTTAACATTTTTTAATTTAGTCCCTATAGTTTGAGTATTCTTATATTGTAATATATTAATCATTACATAGTTTAATATTGACTTTTCCAACGCATGCAATATTCAAATTACGCAATTCAGCCGGTTGACTGTTATGTAATTTTGCTTTTAATAAATTGTCTATCTCTATCTAATGATGGCTATATTTGAACGATTCACTCAAATCCACTTTGGTTTGGCTATCTTTAAAATAGGGAACGCGGAATTGGGGGGATTCGAACGAGGAATGGGAACAAGGAATATGAATGGGAATGGTATAAGTACTTTCTGAAAAAGCCAATTGCATGGGAGAATGTACTAAGAACCCAGCCTAGTCCCAGTCATTCTGAAGCAATACGAGAGCAGTACGAGACTGGGACCTAGGTGTGACGTCACCGCTCAAGGTGCTTCAGAACGTCTAGCAGATTTCAGTATTTTTAATATGGCGGAAAATTTATATATACAAGTAACCTTTTAATTATAAATACGACAATGTTCGTTCAACATGTACATGTTCGATGTCTACATAACCAAATCAACTGTATTAAAAATGTGCTCAATTAAAAAAATTATATACAAATTTACGATACCGAGTTTGAGCTATCGTTGATGTTATTTATGTACTCGCAAGTTGTGATCAACACTAGACCATACTGGTATACACAACTACGCTTTCTACTTGACAGGTTTAAATTTCTGAGGAGATTGGAAATATTTGCCTGACATGATGGTGTTGTCAAAACATTCTTAGTCGGAGACTCGGCATAATTTTCAAGCTTCTAGATCAACGGTTTTCAACTTGAGGGACATGTCCCCGAGAGGGGACATTTGGCAAATTCCTAGGGGACACAAACTGGTCTAGGACTGAGAAAACAATAGTTGAATACAATAGTTGAATACAATAGTTTGTACTATAAACATGTTTGCTTGACTTTCTATCTATTATTTAAAATTTAAATCATTT